TAAGGGAACGAAGAGACTTGAAGAATGATGGAGAAGCCAGACAGTCTGAGAAGAGCTAAAGAATGGAGAAGCTTTTTTCATAATTATCTTTGTGATTCTCTATGATATTTTCTCTTTGAGAACAAGTACTTTGCCCTTTTAAACTTATAGCACATGGCTTCTTTGGTTGACTAGAGTGTTACGTATGAACCACGAGGCTGTATTCATGTTTTAAAGCAGTACAGGTTATGATTTTTGCTTTGGAGAGTTAGCAGATGTGATACAGTCATGACAGAATGAGGTTACTGCAGAAATGACTCATTGTTGAATAATCAAGTGTTTACTCCACCAAAACTGCATGTAACTGGACTGCCACAGTTTTTCTGCTTTATTGTAAGATGTAGCTTTTAAATGTCAGTGCATCAGGAAGAAAGGTAAATTCCCTGGGTGGCTCAGATCTCTTTTTATACATGTGTTTAAAGGCAGACAGTCTTCTGGTTCTCAATGGGGAGAAAAAAAGCTACTGAGCACATCAATGGAGATGTACATTAATGAAATAAAGAAGGGAAATTACCTGAAGAGGAAAACAAAATCCTTCTTGAAGTGGAATAGAGAAGTGTTTCTGAAGGAGACCAGATGAAGAAAGAAGAATTGATGTGAGGTTCTGGTTTGATTGTTTCATACATCCCAGTCTTGTATCCCTCCTGAAAACAATGTCACCATCTGAGAAACCTTCAGCCAATCATTTCTCTAGATACAAGTAATTTTTTTCAAACCACATTCTTCAGCCTTTTTTGGTTTTGCTTTCAAAGAAGGTAATTTGAGGGTGCTTGTGCTTTCTCTTGCATGAAGAAACACATGCTCAAATGTATCTTGTCTAGCAAGAGGGACATAAATCAGGTGAGAGGAAGAACTGACTGGAAGAGCATCTCACTCTTCTGACTACACAAGGGGCCCAAAGGTTATGATCTGTTATGGGTCTAAAGTTCAGGTCAGGACACGAACCCAGACCAGAGAGACTTTGGTCTCTTTGACGCCTTTCTCCAATACTCACTGTGTACATTGGGAGTGAGCCCAGTGCCTTATATGGCTACCGGTTTAGCCTTCTTCCCTGTTTAAAGGGCAGGAGAAGCAGGGTTGAGATCTAAATCCTGGGTCACACCCAAGTACTCTCTAGTTTCTTTGCAAAGGTATAGCACCAACATGTACGATCAAGGCGCTGTCATAAAAAAATAATAGATTATACATATTCCCAGTGGGTGGATAACCTCCCATGGAATAGAGAAAAACTCACTCTGTAAAAGCATGAAAAAGAGTTGAGTAACATCTGAGCTTCTAACAGTTCCTGAAGTTTGAGTCTCCCATGGTAGATGCACTTCTGAGAAGCAGACATCACTGTATTACAGGTATACTTAACACAGATGTCAAGTCAAGAACTTCTTCTTAAGAGCTAAAATCCATCGTATTCAGACAAGAAGTAATGCAGCTGTTCATAAAGTTAAAGTTATGTGAAGCCCTGTCAGAGGAGCAGTGACAGAAATGAGACACAGAAACAGGAGAATTTCAGAAGGTCTTGCTACCCAGACAAAAACATGGCAGATTGTGGCTGTTCCAATTATTCCTTGCACAGTTAATACTGTCCTGTTCTTCCATCATTGTGAGTGTTTAAGTCACTTAATGCAGATTGCTATCTACAAAGAAAAAAGCCAAGTATTTTACTTGCACAAACTGTTCCCAGGACTAACCTCATGCAGGTTCAATAGAATTAAAGTGCCAGCTTTAAAAATCAAACTGACTACGTTTCTAAATCACTTCTTGTCTTACAGACCCTAGGTTACATTCAGAATCTTTATCAGGTTCTCCCCTCCTCCTTCTAATAATATTGGATTATGCTGGACTGTGTTGGATTGACTGTGCTGTTACATAATGTTGTCAAGTGAAAATCAGGTCAAGTGCCCCATTTGGGCTTCCACGCTGCTTGCTCCTACAAGTTCTGTGTACGAATTTTTTTAGGTTTAAAGCCACATTTATGTTATTGCAAGGTCAGCTAAATTAGAAGGAAGAAGGTGTAATGCCCAAGCAGGACCTTACTAGCCTGTGGATAGTGGATGCATATAACACTACTTCAACCTCAGAAGCTGGTGTGCACTCATTGGCAAGCCAAACAGCAGCTGTGGTACAAGCACAGACCAGCTCCTAGCCATCCCAGTTCAGCTATGCTGCTTCTGAATGGCACATCATGCTAGCATCCTAGCTGTACCCCAGAAATCAGAGGAAGAGGTGGCACTTCTTATAAGGATAGAATCTGCAAGTCTCAAACAATGTCTAACTCTGGCTAAAGCTATCAAAATCCTTGCTTCCAGCCAGTTCAGTTCAGTGCCCAAGATGGCAGTCAGAAAGCAATCAGCCTTGCAGTCCCCTGAGGGTTTGCGGTGGAGTGGGTAAAAGGAATCCCTTTTGTGCCTTTTTACCAGCCCAAGGTAAAAGCCTAGGCAGTAGTTAGTGATGAAGAGTAGCAGCTGAAATTCTACGCAGTAATTGAAATTCTAATCAGTGCTGACTAAACAAGAATGAGTTAACCTTTTCATGGGAAATTTACTGTTACAAGTAGGCAGTTGTAACTGCATGGACATTTTAATTGTAGAGGCAGTGAGTGGAAAGCAATCAATCCTGGCTTCAACACAAATAAGATCTCCAACTGTGTTTATATAGATTGTCCTCTGTGCCAGTCTACGTATACGTGATGGTGTTGCACAATCTATGACCCTGAATAGTCCTATATTACCACATTCTCCTTGCAGAAGAATTAACCCTCTGCAGGAGCAGTTCAACTCTGGGTCTGTGCATCAGGGAAGGACATACTTGTTCATGCTTCCTGGGCTGAATTAGAAATGTTACATGGCTCATCTTACTGATTGCAACCAACCAGCACAGCACAACTAGCAAACATTGAGCATTCTCAAGCACACTACATGGAAACAAATTAAAAGAGTTAAACACATTAATTTAGCATATTTCATTAGCACACAGGAGGAAATTGTCTCTTCACAAACATTTTACAACCCACTAGAGGCTAGGTTTCTTGACTAAACTCTTCCTTGCAAATTCTCACCAACATTTAGCCATCATCCCCATTAGTTAATGTTTTGAGGGAGAATGAGTACATATTCCACAACCAGCAGTTTCTTTTCTCCACTGTCCCCTAAAACTCCCACTTTGATTATTAACTTGCTTGAGATACATTAGCTAGGAGGATGTAAGCTTTGCATCCTTATAGCAGTTTCATTACATGTTCATGTGGAAACTTGGGGTCTTTGTAGCTAGAGGATTCAAACTCTGATGTGTATTTGCAGACTTAGCTGATAAGTAGTCAGTTCAGACTCTCATAGGAGAAGGCACTGTCTACATTAAGGATCTGTATCAGCATATAGCCTTGTTGATTGTACCATCTCCATGAGTCCTTTCAGCATTCCTGTAGAGAAGGCCTGTGAGGATCAAGCCATGCTCAACGTGGGTATGGGTGGCAGGGTCTCACTCTCAGGAAATAATTCTTTCATATTAGCTAGCCAAATATCTTAGTAGTTTAAAAAGGGTCCTGAAGTTGAACAGCTTATTCCTTTTCCAGCGAAGGCTCACTTATACATAGCATTTAGTTGTGGCACCTCATGGAGTCAGGCCCTTCGTGACGGCAGAGTTTTCTGTCTGGCCCATGAGGACTTCAGAATTGTTTATGTACTTACTCAGCTGAAGGACTGAAGTGAACAGGGCACATCAGGGAGTCCAGCAGCACGTTAGTAACTTTGAAAGTTAAGTTTCATTAAGACTGTGGCCACTTACTACTTAATGATATGAAACAGTACATGTGAATATGAAGTAATAAATATACAGGGAAAAAAACGCAACTGGAACCTTCCAACTGATCATTGCTTATTCTCTCTGCAAAATTCTACTTAAGCATAAATTGTATAATATATCCACTGCAACAAACTGGTCTGGGTCTCTGTTTTTTTAATCTGATTGCATGTCAAGAGAGATGCTCCACAGTGGGAATTATGCTATAATTAAATTGCAAACAACAAAAAGAAAAACCTCAAAATTTTTTTTTCAATTCTACAAATTCTTCTTAGAAATTTTAAAGAAGTTATCCTAAAAAGACCCTTTCAGAATTTCCTGGCTTAAAATTTGATAATTCATTTTTAGTTTGGTTAACTATGATTAAACTATTCAGTGTTTAAAAAATCAAAAAACAAGGAATCCAACATTTGGGGGAAACCTTACAACAACAGCATACAAGAACTTCCTCTCAAACCACAATATATCATTTCTCTTAATTACATCAAATGTTAGTTTAAACTAATTGAGCATGAAAAATATCTCAGCTGAGCACTTTACAAAGATGACACTATAGTTTATGAACTATACACACACTCACACAAATTAAATTTTTAAAAAGCCTATTAACACCACCACTTTGGAACAGTGTTTCTCTGCCTTCCTCTTCTCCAGGAAAGCTTTGCTAGACACTCTTCCCTTTCTCAGCCTCTCCCCACTGTTCCCTCTATTTAACCATACCTTCTTCTTCCTAGTTTTTGAACGGTCCTCACAGTGGGGACCATTTCTACAACATGGTGCAGAGGTAGCTTCCTACACTTGTGCTGGGAAGCCACAAACATCACCAAAGTTGTTCATGTGCTTTAAGTTGGGGCCATAAGTATTGGAGATTGGCATTCAAGAAAGTCTCATGAAGTCTGACAAACAGTGCCTTGAGTTTTTAGCAAGAGTCTGTATCTTGGTCATTTACGATGATTGTGTAACCATTTTTGCATCTCTCTGCGCTTTTTCAAGACTCTGCTAGCTAATGCCTTTTTGGTTGTCATACAGTTTTCTTTGTGGCTTTCATATTAGAGGCCATCCTGGTTGTACAGAACACCCCATAAGGAAAAATTTAAATCCATAAAAGATGATAATCCAGTCCTATTTTTTTTTCGCAGGCAATGTTTTTAGACTTGCATACTACAGCTAATCTCAAAAGGTCTGTGTTTGGTTGGCTAAGTTGAAATAAGATGTCTTGCATGAATACTTGTAGCTACCACTCTCTTCAATGGGAGTAGCAGATACTCACTACCTCAAAAAGTTACATCTGATAGTGGATTTTGCTATCCAACTTTAGGTGCTCAGATTAAGAACTTTGGCCCTATTGTTTGTTGCAACCTTAGATTTGGGTCCAATCCACCTGACAGTGTCCCTTTAAGCAAAAGCTTCCCCATAGCTGCATTCTCTGATTCTGAGAGGTTTAGGATGCTTTTCATATACTACAGTTTCTGAAGGTCAGCACGTACACATTTTAAGACATAGTGATAAGACAGTGTATGGAACTACTTGGCAGTATTTAGCTGGTACAGTTTCTTGTGGAAACAACAGAATTCCAAAACACACCACACTGAATGCTTATGGGTTATTACAAGCAAAACTCCCAAGACACCGGGAATTAAAAAGCGGAGTTCAACAAAGGAACACTGATATCGTTGGTTGATATGAACAAAGTTGTGCCAGGTCTTCCTTCTTCGCTTTTTCAAGTGGAGAAATAAACTGGGAAAGGAAGCAGAAGGGAAAAAAAAAATACATAAGCCAACAGTTATTACAGAGTTACTGTTGTGCTTTATCTCACAGAAGTGTGTACTGTCAGAGGATGGCAAACACCTTTAGCACACCTCTGCTGAAAGAGCATGACACGCCTTGAACACAGTAGGCTTTCCTGGCTGGAATGGGGTTGCTCCTCCCATGTCAAAAGTTTAGAGGGGGAACTGCAGTGGAAAGCAGGGAAGACTGCAGCTCAAAAGACAGAAAGGGCAAGGACTGATGGTGATGTTAGCTGACATCCCCAGCTCCAGCAACACGTGCAGTCCCACATGTTGTAACTCTTCCTTCAGCAGGCAGCCAGCCTACTTTTCCAGGGCCCCACTACCAGGTTGGTAGGTATCCTGGCTTGGACCATTTCACCACCCATGGTAGCAAGCTACCATGATGTTGTGAGGAACTACCCAATTTATATGCATCTATAGCCAGCCCTGCTTGGAGGGTATGATCTTGTTCCCATACAAATTAGTGATTGTAGAAGCCATGCAGGCCTTGTCTGCGGCAGCACTTGGACACTTGATGTCAACGGGATTTAAACATATACTTGAGAGCTACTATATATAAATACATAATTGAGTTCAATACACAGGGTCCTTCCTGAAGCTGCAACCTTTAGGCACTATTACAGAAGGATCAAATAGACTAAAAAAGTAATTTAAGATCCAGAGCTTAAATACATTTAAAATCACAACAATCTTGCACTAGATTTCACTATGGTGAGCCATGACCTGGGTTTGACGATGTGACACTCAAGTTTGTGATTAAATACCCTAAACCCAACCTAAACCATGTCAAACCTGCTATTTCTGTTTCTAAACTGACCAGAACAGGCATCCAACAGGAGGGAAACAATGTTATTACTTATATATAATTTCAGGCTTAACTTCTAAGGATAAATGATGAACTATCTTGTCTGCTTTTTACTTTCTTGTTAAGATACACAGAATGCTCAATGATGTATACGTACACCGCAATCAATTCAATGGCTGCACATCTGTCTTCCCAGGTTGCTGCACTAGACTGCAGAACAAAGGTCCATCTTTCCCTTGAAAGGCCAGTTGCCTTGAGTACCCAGTTAATATGGTTAATTAATATCTAGCCATTTCCTATTCTTGCCGTATCAGTGTTATGAAACCCTAGAATTATTCTGGGTCACTCTGGTGCCAGCATTCATAAGGCTAATAAACTGCTACATGTATCTCAATCCATTTAGTTATGTTTACAGGTGATTCTGTAAGCCGTCTTTACAGAAGCAACAGAGGAAAATGCAAACATGCTGAAGAGAAGGCATGTAATCTGAGAGCTGGGAATTAATTCACATCCACAGTCTAGCCTCCTGGTGAATCTCTTCTGGGCTACTAGCTAGATTGTCTAACTCAAAAAAATCTCCCTTTTAGGAGTTAATGCCATATTACGGTTATGTCACATAACGGCTGATGCTAACACAGAGGTTACATAAATAAAATGTGCAGTTCCTGTCATTACAAGATCTCTGGCTCCCAACCAGCATGACTGCTATTATTCATTCATATGCTACCTTTTCTAAAACAAACGTGTAGAATGAGATGATCTTTCAAGACAAGAAAGCAGTAAGACTTTGGGCCATCTTTTAACAATATTTAGATGTTCAAGATGCAAAGGGATTTTCAGAAGCACCAGCTTCTCAAATTCCAGCCGATTTGGTGGGAACTAGGCACCTACATGCTTTTAAAAAAACTCATCAGATGCCCGTTTGCCTGTGGGCCTTCACCCTCTTTTTATAGGCGTGAGGTAATTCAAGCATTACTGTTCTCACTAGAAAACACCAGAACTGTGGCACTTGTTGTAATGAAAGGAAGAAGTTTGAGACCACATAAAAATTTATATAAACACGAAAAGGGAGAATCTTTAATCCTAGGGAAAGTTATGTAACATGCTAATGTAAAATACATTAAATGTCAACCAATTCTACATATATAAGTGTCCAGAGAGTTTGCAGTAATTCTCACTATAACAGCATGACACTAGAAGGGGACTTTCACATATTAATTAGTTTAAATATTTTATATCCATTTTTTGTTTTGTTTTTTAATCTATCAGCACTTCATAAGTCACAGAGCTATTGAGATCATAAACAAAAGAGAAAATGAATTACTCACTTATAATTATAATGAGAATGACTGCGCATACTACACCAAGGATGATCATCATCTGTAAAAAGAAAGTTATGAGAGAAAAAAAAAAAAAGGTCAGATTTTCACATGAAAGACATTAACTCCTCAGGTTTTTTTTGCTTTTACTTAGTGGCTCATTCCTTGCACTTTTAATTCTTGCAAAGACTCACTGCAACAGACTTGTTAAGACCCCAAATTTAGTGTCAATTTTAGGAACAGCTGACCACCAGCAATGGACATAGTCTTTTCTCAAAGCTAGCAAGTTCTTGCCATCACCTAAGATGCAGTGACCAACCTCGTCCATTTCCAGCAGTAAAGAAAAAGTAAACTTCTGAAGTAAAACAACTCCAGAGGTGATTTAAGTGGCCATGTACCACTTTATATTGGAGTAATGTGATCACTTTTGACCGTGTTCCCATAGTCAGGGAAGAGACAGCTGGAGTTGTCTAATGCCTAGCAGCTATTTGTGCTGGCTTTGTGCACTTGTGCTGTTGAGAGAGGTAGCCCATGCTAGCCAGCATGGTTTCCAGCATGTTAGCCTGGAAATAGCTCATCGCAAAGTTGACGTCTGCTCTCACAAGAACAGATGCATCAGAGCCAGCTGTGCACAGACCATACCAGCACTGAGTTGTACAGGGTAGAGGCCCCCCACATGAAACTTGCTGAATGCTAATGAGGCCACCAGCAATGCTGCAGTCCAATTCCCATCATTAGCCCAGTGAGAATGGAAAGACCAAAACCAACAAACATGGACACATCAAATCAAGGCCTTTGATCCTCCCAACATATGTCTGGACAACAGAGCCAGCCATTGGCTTGCTGGAGATTTATTTTCCTCCTCCTTCCAGAGTTTGGGAGCCAGAGGAAGGACAGGAGGATTCTGTTTGTCAGGGTAAAGCAGGAAGGGACAATGAGGAAAGGAGAATGAGGGTAGGTTTGAAGATCTAGGGTAGTGTAGGTCATTGCGGTGACTGCAGTCAGCATGGGTGAACCTAACTCAAGATCTGTGTCTGTAGCTCCCAAAAGCCCTGCTTCCTGCATTGTCAGGCAAAGAAACTGGGCAACAGCCAGAAGAGGCCCAGAGGAACTGCTCAGTTGAATTTCTAACCTAGATCCACTTATTTCTGGAGTCCTTGTGCATGTAGTTTACCCAGAATATCTTGCCTTGCTTTACATTTCATAGCACTGTGGATTGAAGAGACAAAGCAGGCAACAGACTGGTAAGAAATAAATGTGGAATTCTCCTTTGGGAACAGGTGGTTTTATTTGGGTGGACATGAATGATCAGCAGCAAAGATGGTGTTGAAGAGAAACGGAAATGAAGCTGAACTTTTGGGTTTTGAAGCTGAACTTTTTGTTCATGTGTTGGTAGTGCATGAGTAGGAAGAAGCAAGGATATGAAGTCTTATACGAATAAGAGGAGCTGAAGTTTCTGCGTCCAGAAAACACAAATCCTGGAGGAGGTCTGAAAAAGCAAGGGACAGTGGGGTTCCCTCTGCTCATGGGAAAGGATGAGAATTTGAATAGAGCAGAGGAGAGAGCAGGTTGATTAAAGTCCTGCTCTATCCTAATCTGCCCCTCTTTAAAAGAGTGTCATTTTCTCACTTCTCACTGTGGTTTGTGGAACCAAGTATTTTTTTGGTAGTTTACCACCCTAAAGAAAGATCAAGAGGCTGATGATCTCCCGCAAGGAAAAAGCTTCTTTTCTCCCACTACTAGAATTCACTACACCTATTCAAGTTTTGTGGTTCACACAGGGAGCTGACATGAATTAACATGGAATGCTCTCCCATCCCTATTGCAGGCACTGACTGAAGCATCAAAATTTGTATCTACATTTTATACACTGCAGAAATTATCCAAAGAATAGGTTCTGATGAAGATCAAAGTTGCTTGACTTATCCTGGAGTGTAGAGGGCAAGGCATCTCTCCCCTTGACAAGAAGAGACCACTTAGAGATGCCATACTGCAAGCAAAGTCCCATTAAATGCAAGTGAAAGTAATGTCTGCCATGAAGTGATTCTAAACAAGAATTTATATTCCTTACCTTGCAATTTTTCCACCAGTATTTTCTCTTCAGTTTGGCTGCACTGGTTTCAAACTGTGAGGCACCTGCTTGCAATGCATCTGCCCGGTTGTCAAGCTCTGATAGCTTCTGGTCTCTTTCTAACACCTTGTCCACATTCATTCTCATGATGTCTACCACCTGCAAAGGCACAGCCTCACATTAGATTCCACACAGAGTAAAGCCCGAGGTCACCCGTATGTTCACACTCTGGAATATCACATATCATACTGAAACCAGCCATTTGCCATTATGGTATGTGATGGCAATTAACTGGACAGTGCCTCAAAAACCATGCCTACGGAAACAGACACAGTGAGAACAAGATGAACATAGCTATACTGTACTCAGATGCCCTTAAAGGTAAAAAATAAAGCGACATTATGGAATACTGTAATAAGTTTCATTAAAGCTTTTATTTATTTTAGCCTACAACTAGCTACCTCACTATAGAGACAAAAAACTGATGGAGACTAGTACCTCTACTAAACTTTGGTTGACATTTGGCCAGTCGTGACTAAGACCAAGCCTTTATTTTCCTTATACATTTAATATAATTTCCTTACCTGAACTAGATAAATTGGCTAGATAAAGGGTACTCTAACTGTATGCATTTCCTGACCAAGGAATTTACTCATTCTGCAGATCTTTCTTGGACAAGATGACTTCCCAGCCATAATTTGAAGTCCTGCTTGAAAGTGGAGGAGGAGAAAATTTTCCCTAAAAAAATTCAGCCTGAAGTGTTGCAGGGAGCTCATGCCACCTCATTGCACAGCCTCAGCAAAAAAAGCATGCGCAGCTGGTACACAATAGGTAAGGCCCATTCATGCATGTATGTTATACATTGAGTTAGACTAAAATCCTCTTCTAGCAAGCCAATAACTCTAAATAGAAATCCTGTACAAATTCATAGAATCATAGAATCGTTTAGGTTGGAAAAGACCTTTAAGATCATCCAGTCCAACCATTAACCTACACTACCAAGTCCACAATAAAACCAATCAAGGGTAGACTAGACTAAACCATGTCCCAAAGTGCCACATCTACCCGTTTTTTGAACACTTCCAGGGATGACTCTACCACCTCTCTCGGCAGCCTCTTCCAATGCTTGACTACCCT